AGGCCCTATGAACAGGGGGCCTAAGATGCGGCCCTGGGTGCACTATAGGGGTGGTTGGAGCTGCAGACATAGGCCCAGGAGACCAGGGCATTCGAAGGGCAGCTTCCTGCCTAATTAACACCTTAATTATGTGTCATCAAGGCATGGCAGGTGAGAAAGGTGGGCAGCGTGCCCAGAGGCAGGTGGGGAGACCAGCACTGTGGCTAGTCAGGGAGTTCCCATGTGGCCACATGTCCTTCAACTGTATTTGCTCTGATCCCACCAACTGGGATGCACACCTTTAGGATCTGAAGCAAGGATTCCGACACTTACAATACAGGTACTCTTCACGTAATGCTGTACCAGTTAACGTTGCTTTGTTATTACATCGCTGATCTATTAGGGAATATACTCATTTAATGTCATGCGATGTCCCGTCATAATGTTGTTTGGTTGTCGCCTGCTAGTGAGACAGGCGGTGAGATGGGGGTGCCACGTGCATATATGTATATGCATGTGGCCACAGGCAACCTGCAGAGCAGTTCCAGCAGATCAGTATGGGGGGGATTGAGGCCCCTGTAGGGAGCGAACAGCAGCCAGGAGATCCCCGCACAACTCACTGGTGGTTGCTGCACTGGGTCATGCCCACAGGGCTGTGGGGCAGGGAAGCAGGGCGTGCCAAGATGCTGCTAGCCATTGCCAGCTCAGCCCTATTTTGCTCCCCTGAAATCTCAGCAGGCAGTGGTGGGGTGGCGCGCAGATCTCCTCGCTGCTCCGAGCTCCACCCCACCCCCCTTGCCCTGGCAATATGCCTCCTGCTCACGGGGCTGCGCCCCTCAAAACAACAGCACAAGCAGAGGCTGTGTTGCCAGGGCAACGGGGGGGAGCTTGCAGCAGTGCGGAGATCCCTGCACGCCCCGCTGTCCTCAGCCATGCCAGGTTGTGTCCTTAGGGCTGCAGAGGTCCCAAGGCAAGGGAAAACGGGTGGGAACCTGCGTCTGCAGCCTGTACCTGCCCCGGGTATAGATCTGGGGGTCGCGGGTCCCCCCTGCCCCCCAGGAGTGTATGCAGCAGCAGGGAGCCAGCCCTCCCTCAGATGAGCCACCTGTGGCATGTCCTGCTCTCCTCTGGGGCCCTGCAGCCGTGCACTGCAGCCCTGGGCTGCAAGCCCCACCTGGCTGCCCAGCTCCCTCCCTACAGGCACCTAAATCTCCTTCTCACACCACCACTTACCTGTGGGAGTGCGCTCTAGGCCGCAGCACAGGGGAGTGGGGGCAGGGGGCTGTGGACCTGGATATATAATGTCTTTTGTCTGGGGAAAAAAATTCCCTGGACCCTAACCCCGCTATTTACTTTAATTCTTATGGGGAAATTGGATTTGTTTACCATCCTTGGGCTTAAAGTTGCACTTTGCAAGAAACTAGCTACAATGTTACGTGAGGGGTAGCTGTACAATCCTAAAACTGTAGCCACTCAAATCACAGCCAGACTCATACCCTGCTTTGACCTGCTACAATACCAGCCCCAAAATGAGCACATCAGAATCCCTCTTGTTGTCACCTACAGCCCCCAGCTTGAACAC